CCCTATCCTTTCCAGTCCTTCTTGTATCTAACATGTTCCTTTTTTTCATCTCCTGCTGCTTAATTCTGTTCACTTCTCCTTTCCCTTCCCTTCCCTTCCCCTTCCTTTTCTGGACTAGTCTTTCCGTCTACAGTATTTCTTTTTATGTTTCTTTTGTTTGCTTTCCTTTCCTCACCTTTGCTATCCTTTCCTTAATGTCTCCTTTCCCTCTCCTTGGATGCCTTTCTTTTCTTTCCTTTCCTTCATTCACTTCTCCTTTCTCTATCCTTCCCTTGCCTTTCCCTTCACCTTTCCGTTTCTTTGCGCTTGCACTTGAACCAATAACAGAACGCTGCACGATAATAGCCCAGTAGATGGCACAACCCTTGGTTTCCTCTTGCCAATTTTCTTTGCAACACCGCTCTCACAAAAATAATATCCTTTCACAGAAACCACTCAAAACACATCATTGGAAAGGTGGCTTGCGCCATCTAATGTCGCGCTTGCTGCTTTCAGGGCCAAACATTTTATAGCGGTCTTTCACGAAACGGATTGTAAAAGTAGATGGCGCCAAACCCATCCCCGACTAGTAGTTTCCCATTCATTGTCACGGCTTTTCGCCTAACATGGCTTGCGCCATCTGCATCTGGGTTTTTTCATTCCAGAGGCGTTTTTCCCTACACAATAAATGGCTCATTACAAAAACCTGAGCCAAGTTATTTGGCAATAGAGTAGATGCATTACGCATCTTGCTCCGTGGAGGAAAAAACCTGAAATTGTCTGAATGACAAAAGAGGCAATCGAACCTGACATCCTACAAAGTGAGGGGTCGCTTATTGTTAGTGGCCCAGGATGACACTTCTAATCCATGTGAGGATCTCACGGGGCAGAAATAATTCAAGTCTTGCTGACACATGTCAGCTGCAAAGGAGAAAACACACAGATTGTTTATCACTGTCTTTCGTATTTTATTTCTGAAAGGCTCTTTCTTGCCCTGCGCAAGCGCACAGCAGGACCACTATAAAAAAAAATATATACAAATGATTTGGACGCAAACATCACAGCTTACCCACCTTGTCCAAAATGTCAGGTCGATTTGTTGTTCCAATGACAACAACCCCATCAGCAGACCCAAACCTTGAGCATGAACGCGGCAGCAAGCTGCTATTTGGGAACTTGGGAAAATAACTTGGTATCCGGCCCATCCATTTCGGCCAATAATTGCGTCAAGGCCTCATCTAAGCCGAGGAAGACAAAACATGAAGAAACACCTCCCCAGAAGAAGCAAAGGGAAACGCGTCGAAGAGAGGGTCTTACTCGATGAAAATATCTGCTTTCACTTGTTTACTACATAATTAGTTGTTATTCCAGAAGTGGATTTCAACCACTATCAATAAATATAACCAACGTCATGTAGAATCGTTGCCGCAGCTCCAGAAAGCCAAAAACCATCCAACAAACCTTTCGCTCCTTGTCCTTGTCTGGAGAAAATAGTTTTCTCTTTGCGAGTGGCTCTTTGACATTTCCTTTTCATATGTGTTTCCTTGATGACCTTTCCTATGCGTAGCGAAGGATTCTTGTTTGACTCTGGGGTCTGGGGGTGGACGCGTTCGCTTTGGAAGGCGTTTCGTATGAAATGCTCATTTGCAGAGTTCTCAGCCTGACTTGTGGAGGAAGCCTGGTTGGAGGAAGGCTTGACGCGTCAGTAGTGTGGATTTTGTAGAAACGCCTCTGACGCGAGTGCTCCGAGTGTACCACAAAAGTGTCCCACAGTGCGGCGTAAAGTGCGTCTGGGTGGCTCCCTGCTGCCGGGGAATGGGAAACACACACACACACACGTGTGCAAATGCGGTGTGCGATTTGCGGTGTCAACGGTGTCAGCGAAGCTTGGTGTCCTATTGGTGCGTCTAGTCTGTGGCACATGGTGTCTTACGAGTGACCCACAAGATTGTGCGACAAGAATGACCTACAAAAGTGTCGTGTCAAGCACACGTGTCCTACAAGCATCAAGAAACTTCCGCAAGAGTGTCCCGCAAGAAACAAACAAATGTCCCACAAGATTGTGCCCTTCAAAACAAGTGTCACAAAAACGTGTTCTACAAGAAGGTTCCACAAGAGTTCCTGCAAGAGTGGCCCACAAAAGTGTCCCGAAAGAATGTCCTACATGTCATTATATAAGGAAACTACCAGCTACACACTACTCTGAGTTTTACACCGCTGCACGATCTGTCTCAAGGCCTCCACCCCGCTCCTCCAGCACAAACTCCATACTCTCAGTGCGGTCTCTTTCTCTTCAGTCAATCGTGCCTCCCCTCTCTGACGCCCAAGATAGTCCAGCCTGAGTTCTTGGCTGTTGTTCGGGGCCCTTTGCAAGGACAAACGCTCTCACCAAATGACTGAAGCCAGCTGGACCAAGTTCGGAGCTCATCAATCAAAATCACAGCAGGCGACATGCGACGAGCAGTGGCAAATAGTTCCTGATGTTCGACATGGTCAAGTTTGAGAAGAACATCTTGAGTTTGATGTTTGAAAACCAAGCATTGACCAAGGTAAAAAGCTTCCGATCCTTGACTAATGTTGTTCCAGCCCCAGCATATCGCTGATTGAAGTCGGCTCCTCCAACCACACAGCCGAATCTCTGAATCACAACACAAACAGTATTGGACTCGGACTCCCCTGGGCCCAGATCAAAAACAAGATGGAACCACGAACCCGAATGTAAACACGTTCGAAAAACTACATATGTCCAAATGACACTCTTGTAGGACACTCTTGTGGGACACTCTTATAGGACACTCTTGTGGGACACTCTTGTGGGACACTCTTGTGGGACACTCTTGTAGGACACTCTTGTGGGACACTCTTATAGGACACTCTTGTGGGACACTCTTGTGGGAAAGTCTTGTAGGACACTCTTGTGGGACACTCTTGTAGGACACTCTTGTGGGACACTCTTCTGGGACACTCTTGTAGGACAATCTTGTAGGACACTCATGTAGGACACTCTTGTGGGACACTCTTGTGGGACACTCTTTCGCACACTCGACACGCACGATCTCCGCAGAGGGTTGCGCGTCAAGTCTCCAAAACGAGCGTTTCGCACGAGACTTCCTCAAAAACTCACACGTCAAAGTCTGCAAAACGAGCGTTTCGTACGAGACTTCCTCCAAAAGTCAAGCGGAAACACCCATCGGAGCACCCACGTCACGCAGCCCTGCCAAGCAGTTTCGCGATTCCAGCCCCTCCAAACAACATCGGCTCACACACCAATCCCAATCAATGTGACAGCGACATTTCACAACTCACAACCTCACGATTCCCTGCGCCTGCCACGAATCTTTCCCCATCCACACGTCTAACGCGCACAAAGTACTGCGCCTGCCACGAAATGTCACCTCCCTCACACCTCGCAACCTCACGATTCCCTGCGCCTGCCATGAAATCGCACTTCCACGCCTCAAAACCCGCACGAAGTCCTGCGCCTGCCACGAAAAGTGCCAATATCATCTCATGTGAGCTTCAAGAAAATTTGCCCCACACCACACGTTTGGAATGATTTCGACCCGTTGTGAGCACACTCCCATCCACCAAAATCACAATTTCAGCTGAGACTTGTCACGAAAACAGCGCTTCGATGCCACACCCTCACAAGCAAATCCCAATGGCGCGGCCACATCCAACACCCCAAAAACACGACTCTCCAAACGCTAATCCCAATGGAACTGCGCAGCAATCTGCGGATCTCACAAAATGCGGCGCCTGTGCAGCGAAATGCATCACGTTTCTTGTGCGACATGTCGGTGTCATGCAAATCACAATGGAATAGCGGCGCAAACTGACACGTGACACATCCATGAAAAGTCACTTGCAAAAGCTTCCCCCAATGGCAGCAAATTTGAGACGCGACGACGACGACAAACGACGAGAGACGACGACAAACGACGAGAGACGACGAGACGACGCAAGCCCATGCAAACACAGGTCCAACCCCCAGACCCCCAACTATAAACGGGAACTCTTCGCTACGCATTCGGGAAAATTACTTGACTTCGAGTGATCCCCACCATGACATTTCAAAACAGCCACGACATCACCCTCGTTGTGTATGACCATTCACCCTCGTTGACATCACCAAGTCCTTCAGCGCCAAGTCTTACTGCTTTGTCCGAAGCGAATGCTTTCATCAGGGGACCTGTGCCCAACTAATAATACAACTCAGATCATTTCACCTGGGAAACTTCCAGGGCCAGAGCAGTAGTAGTAGAGTAGAGGAGTAGTAGTAGCAGTAGTAGTATTACTATTATTATTGCGGTGGTAGTAGCCATAGTAGTGCACAATTCGGGGCCCCGACCTTCGGGGCCCGAACCTTGGAAATCCGGGGCCCTAGTAGTAGTAGTAGTAGTAGTAGTAGTCGTAGTAGTAGTAGTAGTAGTCGTCGTCGTCGTCGTCGTAGTAATCGTAGTCGTAGTCGTGGTCGTCGTAGTAGTAGTAGTAGTAGCAGCAGTAGTAGTAGTAGTAGTCGCAGTGGTAGTCGTAGTGGTAGTCGTAGTGGTAGTGGTAGTCAAAGTGGTAGTGGTAGTCGTAGTAGTTGTAGTAGTAGTAGTAGTAGTACTAGTAGTAGTAGTAGGAGTAGTAGTAGTAGTAGTGGTAGTGGTAGTGGTAGTGGTAGTAGTAGTGGTAGTAGTAGTGGTAGCAGTAGTAGTGGTAGCAGTAGTGGTAGTCGCAGTAGTAGTCGTAGTAGTAGTAGTAGTCGTAGTCGTAGTCGTCGTAGTAGTAGTAGTAGTGGTAGTGGTAGTAGTAGTTGCTGTTGGACACAATTCGGAGCCCGAGCTTCGGAGGCCGAACCTGGGGAGCTTCCGGGGCCCGAGCAGTAGTAGTATAGTAGTGTGGTAGTAGCAATAGTAGTGCGCAGTTCGGGGCGCGAGGTTCGGGGCCCAAAACTTGGAAGCTGCCGGGGCCCGAGTAGTAGTAGTAGTAGTAGTAGTAGTAGTAGATGTAGTAGGAGCAGCAGTAGTAGTAGGAGTAGGAGTAGGAGTAGGAGTAGGAGTAGTAGTAGTAGTAGTAGGAGCAGTAATATGTACTATAATGGCTGTAAGATGTTGCCTGGCTCGAGTCTCTTTGCGAACAGCTGCGCCAACAGATATGGAAATGCATCCGACCCCAATCACTCTGGCATATCTTCGAACTGATTGCCCCCACACTATGGTGAGATTTGTGGTTCTCGATTTTGCTTTTGTCCTCCGGTTGTGTGTTGTGGTTGCGTTGTGATTGCGTGGTTATGTGTTTGTGTGTGTGTTTGCGGTTGTGTATTTGTGGTTGTGGTTGTGTGTTTGTGGTTGTGGTTGTGTGTTTGTGGTTGTGTGTTTGTGGTTGTGTGTTTGTGTGTTTGTGGTTGTGTGTTTGTGGTTGTGTGTTCGCGATTGTGTCTTTGTAGTTGTGTGTTTGCGATTGTGCTTGTGATTGTGTGTTTGTGGTTGTGTGCTTGTGGTTGTGGTTGTGGTTATGTGTTTGTGATGGTGTTTGTGATTGTGTGTTTCTGATTGTGCTTGTGGTTGTGCGCTTGTGATTGTATGTTTCTGGTTGTTTTTCTGGTTGTGTGTTTAAGTTGTTCTGCTTGTAGTTGTGTGTTGAGGTCCGGCGGGGAACACTGGGCGCGGATGGTCGTGGTTGAGG